TGGTAATTGATGTCAAAAATTTCATTTTATACATTGTTTGCTCAAAAATGTGGAATTATGTTTTTTGGCTGAGTGTGGTGGTTCATACCTGCAATCCCAGTGCTTTGGAAGGTTGAGGTGGGAGAATTGCTTGAGGCCAGGAGTTTGAGACCAGCCTAGGCAACATAACAAGATTCTAGCTTTACAAAAAAGGAAAAAAGAAAGAGTAAGTTGGCAGGCATGGTGGCTCAGGCCTTTCATGACAGCACTTTAAGAAGCTGAGGTGGGAGAATCACCTGCCTCCCAGGAGTTTGAGACCAGCCTGGGCAACACAGTGAGACCCCATCTCTACAAAAAATACAAAAATTCGCCAAGCTTGGTGGCATGTGCCTATAATTGGGATTCCAGCTACTTGGGAGCTGAAATGGGAGGATTGACTGAGCCGAGGATGTCGGAGGTCGAGGATGCAGTGAGCTATGAGTGCACCAATGCATTCCAGCCTGGACCAAAGAGAGACCCTGTCTCAAAACAAATAAACAAAACACCCAAGAAAAACCCCCAAAGCTATAATAATTCTGGCTTTTATATTTATCCATGTAAATATCTTTATTGGGGATTTTTATTTCTTCGAACATCTTTGAGCTACTGTCTAGCATCCTTTCATTTCTTTCTTTTTTTTTAGGTTACTCGTAACAATTGGCTGACCTCAGCATCCTTTCATTTCAACCTGAAAGAGTCCCCTTAGCATTTCTTGCAAGGTAGGTCTAGTGGTAATGAACTTTCTCAGCTGTTATGTATCTGAAAATGTCTTAATTTCTCACTTATTTTGAAGGAAAGTTTTGCTGGAAATAGAATTTTTGGTGGACAATTTTGTTTGTTTCAACACTTTAAATATATCAAGCTCACTATCTTTTGACCTTCAATGTTTCTTATGAGTAATCAGCTGATAATCTTATTGAGGACATCATGTATGTGATGAGTCGCTTTTCTCTTGATTTCAATATTCTCTTAGTATTTGTCTTTCAACTATTTGATTATAACATGTCTCAATGAAAGTCTCTGCATTTGTACTCCTTGGAGTTTACTGGACTTTTTAGATATTTTATATTCATGTCTCTCATCAAATTTGGAAAGTTTTAGGCCATTATTTCTTCAGATAATCTGTCTATTCTCTGTTTCTTCTCCTTATTGAACTTCCGTAACACCCATGTTATTTCGTTTCATGATGTGTCGTAAGTAACTTAGTCTCTGTTCACTTTTCCTCACTCTTTTTCATGTCTGTTCCTCTGAACTGATGATTTCAATTGTCCTACCTTCAAGTTCACAGATTTTTTTTTCTGCTTTTTCTCTTTTTTTTTTTCTTTTGAGACGGAGTTTTGCTCTTGTTACCCAGGCTGGTGTGCAATGGCGCGATCTCGGCTCACCACAACCTCCGCCTCCTGGGTTCAGGCAATTCTCCTGCCTCAGCCTCCCGAGTAGCTGGGATTACAGGCACGCGCCACCATACCCAGCTAATTTTTTGTATCTTTAGTAGAGACGGGGTTTCACCATGTTGACCAGGATGGTCTCGATTTCTTGACCTTGCGATCCACCTGCCTCGGCCTCCCAAAGTGCTGGGATTACAGGCGTGAGCCCCTGTGCCCAGCTCTGCTTTCTCAAATCTGCTCTCGAGCCCCTCTGGTGAAGTTTTTATTTCAGGTATTGTCCTTTTCAGGTCCAGAATTTCTGTGTGGTTCTTTTTTGTGATTTATGGATAACCTCAGTTCATTCATGCATAGTTTTCCTAATTTTCTTTAGTCTTCATCTGTTTTTGCTCTTAGCTCTTTAAGACAGCTGTTTGAAAGTTTTTTGTCTAATAAGTCTAATGTTGGGCTGCCTTCGACACAGTTTTTTCAGCTTGTTTTTGTTCCTTTGACGAGGCCATCTTTTCCCGTTTGTTTGCCTTGTAATTTTGCTGTTGCTGTTGAAAACTGAACATTTAACGATTATAATGTGAGAAGTCTGGAAATCAGGTTATATCTCTTCCTCAGCATTTTTTTTTAATTGCTAAAGGCTGTAGTAATCTGTTTTTATACTTTCCCAAACTATTTTTGCAAAGACTATTCATTGTTTTTTGTGGTCACCAAAGTGTCTGTTTCTTTAGCTTGTGTTTAGCCAGTGTTTTGACAGAGATGCCAGGAGCTAAAAAATGATGACACCACCAACACACACACACACACACACACACACACACACACACACAGAGCACACCTCTTACACCTTTTTTTTTTTTTAATGGAGTCTCGCTCTGTCTCCAGGCTGGGGTGGAGTGGTGGGATCTGCTCACTGCAACCTCTGCCTCCTGGGTTCAAGCAATTCTCCTGCCTCAGCCTCCTGAGTAGCTGGGGACTACAGCCTCGAGCCACCACACCCAGCTAATTGCCTCTTCCATCTTCTGCAAATTGGTTGGAACTCTTTTAACACTTAGCTAGACTTGTTCTGAACCTAAGGATCAGCTTTTCTGAACATGCATTTTGCCCTGGGCATCCGTGTGGCATTCTAAATTTCCTGTATACAGAGCTGTTCTATTTTTCTTGAATTGGATCTCGCTCTGTCATCTAGGCTGGTGTGCAGTGATGATCATGGCTCACTGCAGCCTCAAACTCCAGGCTCAGGTGATCTTTTTGTTTCTGTTCCCCAAGTGGCTGGGACTACAAGAATGTACCACCGTGCCCGACTAAGCTTTCCCTTCCCTCCCTTCCCCATCCCTTCCTCCTTCTTTCTTTTCTTTTTCTCCTTCCTTCCTTCCCTCCCTCCCTCCTTTCTTTCATTCCTTTCTTCCTTCCCTCCCTCCTTCTTTCCTTTCCTTTTCTTTCTGTCTCTCTTTTTCTTTCTTTCTTTCCTTCCTTCCTTCTCTTTCTTTTTTTCTTTCTTTCCTTCCTTCCTTCTTTCTCTCTCTTTCTTTCCTTCCTTCTTTCTTTCTCTCTCTCTTTCTTTCTCTTTTTCTTTCTTTCCTTCCTTCCTTCTTTCTCTCTCTCTCTCTCTCTCTCTTTCCTTTTTCTTTCTCTTCGCTTCTTCTTTCCTGTCTCATTTTTACTTGAGTCAACATCCAGGCCTGGAGTGCAGTGGTGTGATCATGGCTCACTACAGCCTCTAACCCCTGAGCTCAAATGATCCTCCCATCTCAGCCTCCCAAATAGCTGACACTACAGTTACATGCCACCATGCCAGTTAACTTCTTAAAATTTTTATTTTTTGTAAAGATGGGGTCTTGCCATATTGCCCAGGCTATTCTCAAACTCCTGGCCTCAAGTGATCCTCCCACCTTGGCCTCCAAAGCATTGGGATTATAGGCATGAGCCACTGTGCTTGGCTTATAGCTGCTTTAAAAATTTACATAAAAATTTTTTTTGCCACAGGGACTTGCTCTGTTGCACTGGCTAGAGTGCAGTGGCACAATCATGGCTCACTGCAGCCTCAAACTTCTGGGCTCAAGCGATCCTCCCCCCTCAGTCTTCCAAGTACCTGGGACTACAGGTGCATGCCACCATGCTCAGCTATTTAAAAATTATTTTTTGTAGATACAGGGTCTTGCTATGTTGTCCAGACTGGTCTCAAACTCCTGGGCTCAAGCAATCTGCCTGCCTCAGCCTCTCAAAGTGTTGGGATTACAAATGTGAGCTGGGAGTTGCTTTTGAATATCCAGATTATCCAAGCTTCTCCTCTGGGTTTAAAGTGGTCTATTGCATGTCTCTACCTATAACCTCCTGCCCCAGGCATCTTTTCTGAGCAGTGGCCTGATTTTAGGCAAGAGATACAGCATCTCACATCAGTTCTTCAGGTATCCCCCAGACAAGAACAGATGCACATGGTAGTTTGCAAGTAAAGTAGCCTGCTCTCTTTGGAGGGTGGGAACTGAGAACTGTGCTACTATTGTCTCAAGTCCAAAACTGCTGGCTGGGTACAGTGGCTCATGCCTGTAATCCCAACATTGTGGGAGGCCAAGGCAGGAGGATCACTTGAGGCCAGGAGTTTGAGACCAGCCCTGACAACATAGTGAGACCCTATTTCTACAAACACTTTAAAAAACTAGCTGGGCTGGGCGCGGTGGCTCACGCCTGTAATCCCAGCACTTTGGGAGGCTGAGGCGGGTAGATCACAAGGTCAGGAGATCGAGACCATCCTGGCCAACATGGTGAAACCCCGTCTCTACTTAAAGTACAAAAATTAGCTGGGTATGGTGGCATGTGCCTATAATCCCAGCTACCTAGGAGGCTGAGGAAGGAGAATTGCTTGAACCAGGGAGTCAGAGGTTGCAGTGAGCTGAGATCGCACCACTGTGCTCCAGCCTGGTGACAGAGTGAGACTCCATCTCAAAAAAAAAAAAACCTAGTTGGGTATGGTGGCACATACCTGTAATTCTAGTTACTCAGGAGGCTGATGTGGGAGAGTGCAGTAAGCAATGATTGTACCAATACACTTCAGCCTGGGCTGTTTTTTGAGAACCTGTTTCAAAAAAAAAAAAAAAGACTAAGACTGCTGCCATCTGGGGAAGGGGTAGGGCAAGACTAAGTAAAAACACCACAAAAGGGCCAGGCATGGTGGCTTTCGCCTGTAATCCCAGCACTTTGGGAGGCCGAGGCGGGTGGATCACGAGGTCAGAAGTTCAAGACCAGCATGGCTAACACGGTGAAAACCCGTCTCTACTAAAAATACAAAAAAATTAGCTGGGCATGGTGACTCATGCCTGTAATCCCAGCTACTCAGGAGGCTGAGGGAGGAGAGTTGCTTGAACTGGGACCCAAACGGGGGAGGCTGTGATGAGCCGAGATCGCGCCACTGCACTCTAACCTGGGCTGTAGAACGAGACTTGAGACTCTGTCTCAAAAAAAAAAAAAAATAGTTGACTGATCCTCCTTGGGGCAGGCTGGGTAGCACTTAGGTGGGCCAGAGTGCCATGTGACCTCTGGTGCTGCCAACCATGTATGAGCTCTGGGCATGTGCGCAGCCTGGCGCGGCACTCCTCTCTGCCAGCGTGTTAGGATGCTGTCCGCACCAACTTGGCTACTGGAAGCCCCAGTAGTAAAGTGAAATATTCAAGGCTCTCCAGCAGAGACGATGGCTACATTGACCTTCAGTTTAAGAAGAGCCCTCCAAAGATCCCTTACAAGGCCATTGCACTTGCCACTGTGCTGTTTTTGATTAGCACCTTTCTCATTATTATAGGCTCCCTCCTGCTCTCAGGCTACGTCAGCAAAGTGGGGGCAGGCCAGGCCGTTCCAGTCCTGATCATTGGCATTCTGGTGTTCCTACCCGGATTTTACCACCTGTGCATCGCTTTCTGTGCAGCCAAAGCCTACCACGGTTACTCCTATGATGACATTCCAGACTTTGCTGACTGGCACCCACCTCATATCTGAGAAGAGTCACAGTGGGACTGCCCCAGCTTTAAGACACCGAGCAGAAACTCTAGATAAGGGCTAAGGAATTCTGCAGCTTGTGGATGTTTAAGAAAACAATGGCCTTGATTTTATGGGTTCTTCCCAAAGATGTAAACTGAGCCTACAGTTAGCTAGTTAGGACGTGACCTGCTCTGTTTTTCATCCCTTGGCCCTGGCAAGAGCTCCTGACAAGTTTTTCCACAGGAATATGTATCATGGAAGAATAGAGCTTATTCTGTAGTGGAAAGTGTTGCCTGCCACCACCCTCTGTAGAGCTGAGCATTTCTTTTAAATAGTCTTCACTGCCAGTTTGTAACAAATGAAAGAATGTAGTATGGCTAATTGCTTACTACTAAGTAATTTATTTTAAAAATATTTGAGTATCTTGGCTGGGCACCGTAGCTCATGCCTGTAATCCCAGCACTTTGGGAGGCTAAGATGGGCGGATCACTAAATCAGGAGTTCGAGACCAGCCTGACCAACATGGTGAAACCCCATCTCTACTAAAAATACAAAAAAAAATAGCTGGGCATGGTGGCATGCATCTGTAATCCCAGCTACTCAGGAGGCTGAGGCAGGAGAATTGTTTGAACCCAGGAGGTGGAGGTTGCAGTCAGCTGAGATCACACCACTGCACTCCAGCCTGGGCAACAGAGCATGACTCCATCAAAAAAAAAAAAAAAAAAACAAACAATTGGCCCAAAACCTAGAATGCAATAAAAAAATAAATAAAGCAGAAAACACACACACACACACACACACACACACACACACACACACAACCTGGAATATCTTATCCTCTACACTTAACCCTACCTTCATGTTCCTTAGGAAGACCTTGGTAAAAATCAAAGATCAGTGAGTTTATCTGTAATATTTCTTTTTACTTGCTTTCTTATTGATAGCAGCCAGGAATAAACTAGCCTGCATGGCAAGTTTTCAAAATGTAAATACTTTCTCCGGTTAACAATCCTTGGCCCATTCTGATCCAGTTCACCAGTAGATTGGACAGCATATAATTAGGGTCATTTTGTCCCTTCTAAATCAAGATGTTCTGTAGATTATTCCTTTAAGGGCAGGACTTTTGGCTGTCCCTAATGAAACATGTAGATAAATGTTTATTAGTTAGAGTTTATAGCCCTGTTGCTAGCACCTTGTATTATGTCATTATTCTGCTTATGATTGCAAGGCTCAGCCTGGATGCCTGGAGCACTAGATTACCTTACTTTGATTCTATTTTTTAGCTTGCAAAAAATGACTTATATTCCAAAGAAATTAAAATGTTGAAATCCAAAACAAACAAACAAACAAATAAATAAAGTCCGGGCGTGATGGCTCACGCCTGCAATCCCAGCACTTTGGGAGGATGAGGTGGGTGGATCACCTGAGGTCGGGAGTTCGAGACCAGCCTGACCAACATGGAGAAACTCTGTCTGTACTAAAAATATAAAAAATTATCTGGGCATGGTGGCACATGCCTGTAATCCCAGCTACTTGGGAGGCCAAGGCAGGAGAATGGCTTGAACCTGGGAGGCAGAGGTTGCCGTGAGCCCAGATCACACCATTGCACTCCAGCCTGGGCAACAAGAGCAAAACTCTGTCTCAAAAAAAAAAATACCACCACAAAACTTTGCTACTGTTTTGAAGATGGCCTTTTTAAAACTGAGTGTTTGCCTGGTTGCTGTAGACCCTTGTTTTCTGGAGCGCCAACAAAGTTGGTTCTGACAGTTCTCTGCTTGTTTATTCAGTATTTCAGCTTGGAAATGAGAGCTTGGAACTTCCTAGTCGGCCATTTTGCTGTCATTTCCAATGGCATTTTTTGCATCTTGACTTTTTCCTCATGTTCAATGCTTCAGGACCACAAGATGGTTGCTATAGCTCCAGACTTTCCATCTGTCTAGGGCAGCGAAAAGTGGGGAAGGCTAGAATATCATGCCAGCTGCATACATCTCTTTTAATGAGGAAAGGAAAAGCCTTCCCATGGGCCAGGACTGGATTACATGGCCACTGCCAGCTGCAAAGGGGGCTGGGAGAATAGAGAGAGCCTCTCTCCCTGAGTAGTGGACACAGTCCTTCACCAAATAGAGTCCGGGTTCTGATGGCAAGAAAGATGAAGGGGCCACCAGCAGGCTGGTTACCCCAAAGAGCCAGAAGTTGTGGATGTGATTACTCACATCTGTACTGGTCAGAGTGTCATACACATATCCAGCCAAGGTGCCTGTGGTCCAGGTCAGGGGACCGGCTTAGCAATGTCACCTGCCTTCCTCTCAGCCCAGATCCCCAGACTCTTTAAATGCTGTCTCGATGCAGAACAGCATGTTGGCAAGTGATTTTGATTTATTTTTTATGGGTACACAGATTATATATTTATGGGGTACATATTTTGATACAAACATACAGTGTGTCATCATCGCATCAGGTTGTAAATGGGGTGTCCATCACCTCAAACATTTGTCACTTCTCTGTTACAAACATTCCAATTACACCCTTTAAGTTATTTTAAATGTACTCTGACTGTAATTACCCTGTTGTGCTTTCAAATACCAGCTCTCATTCATTCTATCTAATCATATTTTTGAACCCATTAACCATCTCTGCTTCCCCCCCGCCACCCCACTACCCTTCCCAGCCTCTGGGAGCATCATTCTACCCACTCTCTATTGCCATGAGTTAGTTTTGATTTTTAGCATGTGAAGTTTGTCTTTCTGTGCCTGGTTTATTTCAGTGAGTGACCCTGAAGTCTCCAGGGATTGTCTGCACATGACTCACCTGGGGCAGCCTCTGCCAGGCGTCACCCCAGAGGCGACCACAGAGGGCTGCTCTGCTGATGGCTGGCTCACCCCCGGCTGCTCTCTTAGTGAACTGGCACAGCTCTGGGCCCCTCTCTGGACCTGCTCAGAGTAGCCATATTTCAGGCGTGTCTTATGATTTCAATATCAAGCTTATAATATCAATCTTACTAATACCAAAGAAAGTGGAAAATGAGGTATTATCTGGCAGTCTAATTAGTAAGGTCTAATGACAAACATAATACATGATGAAGGTGACTGCAGGGAGATGGTGCCTTTGCAAGTTGCTTTTGTCAGTGGCAAGAGTCATGGCCTTCGGGAAATCACCGCGTTTTCATTACCCAAGACTGGCATCAACCCTTCACCAGATTCTAATTACTGAGAATTTGATAATTACCCGATAAATCCTAGATTAGCGTGAGGAAAGAATGAACTGTCCACGTAAGAACTGTAAACATTGGGCCGGGCGCAGTGCCTCATGCCTGTAATCCCAGTACTTTGGGAAGCTGAGGTGGGTGGATCATGAGGTCAGGAGTTCAAGACCAGTCTGGCCAACATCGTGAAACTCCATCTCTACTAAAAATACAAAAATTAACTGAGAGTGGCGGTGGACGCCTGTAGTTCTAGCTACTTGGGAGGCTGAGGCAAGAGAATCGCTCGAACCCAGGAGGCGGAGGTTGCAGTAAGCCGAGATTGCGCCACTGCACTCCAGCCTCGCGACAGAGTGAGACTCTGTCTCAAAAATAAAAAAAAAAGAATTGTAAACATTGTACTCTCACGAATCTCATCTGGGGGAACTTGTTTTAAGGAAATAAAACTTTTTTTCAGGGGAAAGTGCGAACGCAGTCCCCCACTACCACAAATTATGCAGTTGAGTTTCCCACATTTAGGGAAATCGCAGGGGTCAGCACATCCGGAGTGCAATGGATAAGCCTCGCCCTAGGAAAACCACCTTCTTGATCACAGTATCTCCCCTGACAGGTAAGTATAAGTAAATAAATTTTTAAAAAGAGGAAACATTGTTAGGCCTAAAGAAGTCAACCAGAAACTTATTTATCAAAAATGAACTATTGGGAATTAGCCAGACAGTCAGCGCCAGAAGAGGAGAAGATCCATGCATTCTGTGGACCATAACCTAGTCACAGACACGCTGATCAGAGATCGAAGGCAATGGGGAGGATTTATGTGAAAAGTCCAGAGAAAAAGCAGGATGCATGTGTACATATCATATGGTCACAACTCAGCACGTGTGCCCAGAGGCACTGACAGCTGGGTTGGGAGATCCAGTGCGTGAAATTTTCACTGTTTTGGGTGTGAAATTTTCGCTGTTACTCTGAGCAGGACTGTGCTGCTGTCACACTGTTTGTGTTTCACAAAAGACCCCAGGAGATCACATAGCTGGACTCCATCTCTCTGTGGTGCTGGGATGGGCACAGCTGGGCTCCAGGGGCTCAGCCTAGACAGCCCCCACAGGAACATACGAAAGGCAGGAGGGCCTTGAGTCCACTGCAGCAGGTGCTGGTGCTGGGCCCTTTCTGTGCTGACACTCACAGCCTCGTGTGTGCCAACAGTGACTTCTTGCAGCAAGTGCTCACAGCCCTGCCTAAGACCCTTTGACACTGAGTGCACCTGCCATGTACTGGGGCTAAAGCTCCCAAGTGTGTCCTCAACCAGTGACAGATGAATGTGGTAGAAAGTGTCCATGTCCTTATTCCTTGGAGGAGACCCTCTTGGGCATGTCTCCACCAGCTCCTGGAGGTCCCTGGGGGCAGGAGGTCCCTTGGATGCACTCTGGGCAGCTTCCTGCCATCCCCTGGCTCATTCCCCACTCCCCTACTGCTGTCATCTGGAGTTACCTCCCCAGTAAATTCTTTGCACTGGGATCCTTGTTTCAGGATCTGGTTCTGGAGGAAATGGATGACAACACCAGGAACAGAGGACATAGAGAGGCAGCTTCATGGACGGTGGAGTCTCTGCCTCTGCTGACCAGGGAATTGGGAGCAGTGCTGGGAAGTTGCTGGACGGAGCTGTCACTGCACAGGGGCAGGCCCTGGGCTGCTGACTGTCTTTCCTCTCCACGATGGCTGTCTCAAGGGCTTAGGGTTCAGCCTGACCCTGCCCTGGCCCCCTTCCTCTCAGCCTCTGTCTTCTCCCACGAGCCTGGGTGGTTCCCCTGTGAATCAGGCCGGGGTCCACAGAACGCAAGAGACAGGTCCCTCCCTGCTGGTGTCTCCAGTAGGTGGCCATGCAGGAGATATTCCCAACAAGCTGCCCTTATCTGCAACTCAG